TTCCTATAATCTTTGAAAGGACATGTCTAATTTGTTTATTGAATAATAGTTATGTTGTGACCTAGCAATAAACACATACAACGAACACAGATATTGTCCCATTTTTGTTCTAGAGCAGTGGTTCTCAACCTGTGGGTCGTGACCCCTTTGGCAGTCAAATGACCCTTTCACAGGGGTCGCCTAAGATCATCCTGTATATCAGATATTTACATTACGATTCATAACAGTAGCAACATTACAGTTATTAAGTAGCAATGAAAATAATTTTATGGTTGGGTCACAGCATGAGGAACTGTATTTAAAGGGCCAGACGGTTGAGAACCACTGTTCTAGAGCATGGGTCTTGATTGGTATATTGGGCAGAATTATGAGATGGCTGTGAAGATTCCACCTCCTAGTGTATATGTCCTGTATAATCCTTGTGTGTGAGGGGATTTAGGAATATGATAAGATTGTCTTCCCCGTGATTAGGTTATGATGGCACAGTTCCTTTAATAAAGTGGAAAGTAGTCACTAAGAGTGAAAGCCAACAAGAAAATAAGGGATTCGGTCTCCTAACCATGAGGAACTGAATTCTATGGACAAACTGAATGAGCTTAGAAGTGGATTCTTCTGTAGAGCCTAAAGATGAGAATCCGGCTTCCATGTGAGCCCGAGCAGAGAAGTCACAGGAACCATGCCTGGACTTCTGCCCTACTGAACTCACAGCTAATTAGTTGTTTTAAGCCTCTAAGTAGTTGTGCAGCAATAGAAAACTAACAAACTAATAAAATGGTTTCTAGTTAAGTGTGACTTGGGATTTTTTAAAAGACCTTTTTCTTATATCCTGTTTCCCTGCTTTTCTTTAAAGTGTTGCTCTGTTTTCCCTCCACGAAGTTATTTCATTGAATAACATAAAATGCCATATTGTTAGATTAAAATCTTCTCTCATATCATATATGAGAGTTACAACTTTTTCTCCCTCACAGTTGATTTGAGATGCAAAGATGTCTATGCATGCTTTGGGCTGGAGAATCAAACTGGAAAACACGGATTTCAAGAATTAAAGCAGACAATCTGTGCATTTTGAAGTAACTCAGATATGTTTCATTCACGGCATCCAGCTATCTTGATACACAGCAACCCTGACACAGTGGTTGAAGGTAAAGGAGAAGTAATGTGAGCATAAGTGCTTGGACATTTTAATATCTTTTACCAATAAACAACAGTAGAACGCCACGCATGTGAATCCATGCTTTTCCCAAGGAAAACCTGTATCCTACCTTCTGCTTCCTGATATGCAGCTGGAGCCTATTATAAGGGTAAGACACACCATGGGGAGCACGCTTAAACTTTTTAGGCTACAAAAATGAAAGTTGATATTCATTAATTATATGTCTACATTATGCAGATTGACCACTGTATTATATACAACATAGTGAAAGTCACTATTAAATGGCTTGTTGATAGCTCCTCCTAGGTAATTTACTAAACCTTACTTACCGAGAGTCTGTTAACCACCAAGGCAGGATTTGTTGTCAGGTCAAAATCAGAACAAACTGTGACTTTGTGGTTGATGGCAGACAAAAATATTCTACATCAAAGGGAGCTGAGAACACAATATGATGTCCTTCTAACATTTCATTCAGGAAACACTGCATTTCCAGCAAAGCTTAACGTAATGCAGGTAAGTGAAAATATCAAAATGTCAATGATTAAAACCCACCAGTTAAAACCTATATTCTCTCTTTGTGAAAATTATAGAATTGAATTAAGAGAAAAGCCACTGAAATTTAGATTTAAGTAAATGCCAACAATGGATTCTGGAATAAGTCTGAGGATCACAAACCCTCAGCTGAAGAATGGTTAGCCGTTTTAGTAAAAAGGAAGAACTCTCACACAGACACATACAAATACTCAAAAGGCCAAAATGTGCAAAACTTCAAGGTCTGGGGATTCAGGTAAACCATGACTTAGCTTTTACCAACTTTAACCAAAGTCTTCCCAGGTGCTAAAGTCAGCACTAGAGAAAAGCTATTATAAAAGCACTATGTTAAGTAATTAGAGCTTTGTCTGCTTCAACTTCTTATACCATCTATATAATTACGTTGAGAGAAAACACTCCAAGCTCAAATGAAATAAATGACTTCAGTTTATGCCCACACGGACCTTGTCAAGTAGCCAATGACTTGCCCTTTCATTGTGAGTGACTAATATCAATGTTGGCTCTAAAGAAAGACACTTTTCATAATCGCCCAACAATCTGCTAAGTGAAAACATATGGATAGGCTTAGGCAAAGCCTGCCAGGGGTCTTTGCGGAATGGAAAACAGGTGCTCTCATTCTGTGCCACGTAATACCCCATTTACCCCCAAGTCCAAAGGTTAGAGGACTAATAGTTGCCTTGTGGTAATCAGGGAAAGCCAAGACACTGGCCCTGGTGAAACATCTGGGACATATTTTACATACTTGCAACATATGCTTCAGGTTCAATTAAAGTGAGGCTTTGGCACATTTATTAATCTTTTTTACTTTTATCCTATAAGAGGACCCACTGACCTGACCCTAATATTATACCATATGAGAAAACAGAGAAATAATGAGAGCGAGAGGTCAGCACCTGCTCGTATGGCAAAAAATACATTTGTTTTCTCATGAAATTCCATTACGCATGACTCTATACACAAACTTTAAATAGAGGAACCAATGCATTTTTAAAAGTAGGAAATTACCCTTCTCCCACTCAGACACACTGATAGCCAAGACTTACAAAATTTACCGCTGTGAGAGCCAGTCAAGAGATGGAAGCTGGTAAACAGAAACTTGAAGGGCCCCTCATATTTCCATTTCTTAGAGTAAAAACTTTGTATTTCAAAATATCCACTCTAAGATTCTTTTCTCTATCATGCAAGCCCCTAAAGTATAAGTTATTACATTTGAGATTTTTTTTTGTTCAGATGTGATTTTTATGCTATAAATTGCATTATGAATAAAAAGAGAAACCTCCTTATATATCACTCAAATAAAGAACTGGATTTATGAAAAGCAGCTCACAGTCCTTTCAGATGGAAAACACACTGTTCGTTGGCATTCTGTACAGAAGAATACAGTTGAATTCACATCGTAATTTAAGCACTCCTTTCAATCAACTTTAGAAACTAGATCTAAAAACGAGTTAGCAAGGCGTTATCAATTTCAGACCACCAAACACTGGATCACAAAGATGCCACTTCAGAGATCTGCTCTTATGCCCACCATGGTGTATTCTACTTGGCATCTATGTTTTGGTAAGCTGGTTAACCAGGTGTGCTATTGATTTCCCACGGCTAACATCCTCTCTCTTAAAAAATGACCATAAAGAAGGGATTAGTGGTATAGAATACCAACAAACTGGCTATAAAATACAGGCCGACTTCAAGCAGGACACTGAAGTACTAGACTTCACTAAGGGTTTCCATTTATTAACATTTCTGGGGAAATGCCCGCTGTCAGAATGGATCTTTATAGTAGCTTTAATAATAAAGCAGCAACAAGCGAGGGAAAATGGCCATAAATGGATGGCAGCTCAGTGTTTATCAGCAGAGAAATGATGATTCAGAGCTGGCATGTTGCCTTAAAATACAGTCTCTCTACAGCTCTACCACTGACCTTAACAATAAATCATATCATTTATTGCCATAAGTGTATGCTCATGTTATTTAACATTAAAAACAAGCACATGGGTGTTTTTGCAGAAAGATTTTTGTTAGTTTATATTTGATGATGTCACTAATGATTAAATGATGTACATATGAAAAATTTTACATAAAAGCTCTATCAATTTAAAAATTATTGAAATCACATTAGAAGGGAGAAAAAGTGTGTGTGTGTGTGTGTGTGTGTGTGTGTGTGTGTGTGTGTTTCCATCTTCCTTTAAGCATTAAATATTAGGGAAAAAATCATTTGGGAGTTAACTAATCACTGTGAATTTTTTTTGACATTTTCAATGCTAACTTCCAGCACACAAAATCTTAAACTAAAATATAACTGTACATCTCTACTGGAACCAAAGGTCAAGGGTATAAATGAAGATACACTGTTTTCCTCCTTTCTTCAAAAAAATTTCACTGCTTTACTAGAACAGAATTCAGATAGTTTCTGGTGAAGGTCAAAATCTGGTTTTAGATGCCGAGCAGCACAGAAATAATGAATGATAGCCTCCCTCCCTCCTCCCAATCTCACCCTAGGACTTTTTCCATTTTAGATCTTGACCTGCCCAAGCACTATAAACCAGCATCGCTACCCTCCTTGCCACAGACAGCCGTTCTTCCAACCCCAGCCGCTGCTGCAGTGGTGCAAGGTCATTCTAATTCCTCCCTCCAGTTGTCCTCTCTCCCCAGGGGACAACCAATCCAAGCAGTCCCAGAAACTAGCTGTTATTTACCGTGGTCACCATCCACAAGCCAACCAGCAATTGAAAAATGAGCCTCTCTGACCACACTTTCCTGACCAAGGAGCCATGGGGCCATTCCAAGTCAAGTCTAAGCAGAGGGCAGTAGCGCTGGGATTATTTAAATGCCCTCCGCTCACATGTGTTCCTCTGATGAGCAATTTTTCGAAAATTACAGATGACAATATCCATGTTCGGCTCATGCAGCCTGCTATTTTTTCTCTTCTCTCTTTTCCCCAAAGTGTAGCCTGATTTGTAATACTCAAGATAGGACAAATTTTTGCCCTTCAAAAACAGTTGTCACTGCCGTTATCTTCACGCGAGCTATCAAGTTCCAGACAAGCTGAATTATTTTATTTTATTTTTTTTGTTCCTAGCAGAAAAATATTTGACCCAGCTCTGGACAAAAGCGAAGAGGATTTATAGCCCTCTCTCCTCTTTGCAACATGCGGTGGCATTGTTAGGATGATAAACAGCACTGTCCAATTTTCTGGACTCGAACACTTCAACTCCTTTTTTAACTGTCTGTGAAAACAGTGTCAGGCCTACATTTCCCCATCCCCAGGTACCCAAGTGCTGGGAAAGATAATTACCTTGTCATCTTTGTCATCTTCTTCTTCCTCGTCCTCTAGCATGTCCTCCACTACCTGCAGACAGAAACAGAAGTCGTTTTCATGCTCTTAAAAGAGGGAGTTTTGTTCTGTCATTTTGAACCTTTTGGAAATGAAAACTTTATTAACATTTGAAACAGAAGCACGGAGAGGGAATATTTGATCTAGAGATAAGGATGAGGGAAATGCCATGCATTTAATTGATTAAAACCAGGGAACTGAATCCCAGTCAGGAAAACCCATTGTGTGAAATACTCTGTGACAACTGAAACAATTTGAAATAATGCATAAGGTAAATGAACATAATTTGAGAGATGCTTTAAATCAGGAAATTTCCTTTTTACCTACACTGCTGTCTATATTAATTAGGCACTTTAAATTTGGAGCTAGATAACTAAGCAGAAAACAGCTCTGCTATTTTTAATTTACTTTCCAGCAAACTCTAAGATAAAGAACTATATCTGTTCATTGATTCGTGCTGGTGATCAATGGCATAAAACTAACAACATCTCTCATGACTCAAATTTTAATTCTTATGTATAAATGTCAAGTTCTAACTATCTCTGTATTACTTTTTAATTTTATGAATTATCTCATATGCTAACTTTAATACTGTGATTTTATAACAAGAATGAACATTATTATTGAAAACTAGAAATATATTCAATAATCAAACATGTGTAATATGTATATAATATAGGTGGATATGCATGTACGTAGGTGGGTATACATGCATGTCTTTTTTTTATATTTTATTGATTTTTTTACAGAGAGGAAGGGAGAGGAATAGAGAGTTAGAAACATTGATCAGCTGTCTCCTGCACACCCACTACTGAGGATGTGCCCGCAACCAAGGAACATGCCCTTGACAGGAATCAAATCTGGGACCCTTCAGTCTGCAGGCTGACGCTCTATCCACTGAGCCAAACTGGTTAGGGCACATGCATGTCTTTTAAATGGTTCCTGGCTTACCTACCTCAGCAGAATGGAATAGTCATTTTGGATTCACCACATAATTTCTGCTTGCCTCAATCAGTATATAACTACAGCCATTATTTATTTTTAAATATTATTTTATTAATTTCAGAGAGGCCTAAGGGAGAGGGAGACAGAGAGAAACATCCACACACTGAGAATCATGGATCGGCTGCCTCCTGCACTCCCTCTACTGGGGATCGAGCCCACAACCCTGGCATGTGCCCTTTAGTCCACAGGCTGACACTCTATCCACTGAGCCAAACCTGCCAGGGCGTACAGCCATTATTAATGGAACTTCAACCTGTTTCAGGTGTTGTATTATGGTTTTACATACCTACACACACAAAAATATCCCATAGAAACCAACAACTAAAAAAATTGGTGGGGGGTGGGGGGCACCCTAACCGGTTTGGCTCAGTGGATAGAGCATTGGCCTGCGGACTGAGGGGGGTCCCAGGTTTGATTCTGGTCAAGGGCATATACCTTGGTTGCGGGCACATCTCCAGTAGGGGGTGTGCAGGAGGCAGCTGATTGGTGTTTCTCTCTCATTGATGTTTCTAACTCTCTATCCCTCTCCCTTCCTCTCTGTAAAAAATCAATGAAATATATTTAAAAAAATTGGTGGGGGCATTATTCAAGTAAGTGGATATTTATTATGATTCTATTTATGTCAATTCTCATTATTGTGACCTTTTTATTTTTTATCTAGTCTGTACCTCCATCTCTGAATAAACTTTATAGAATAGTGATTAACAAATATTTTAACCTTTCTCCCAAAGCTCATAACTTTAGAAGATAGAGACCACCAGTCCTTCTCTCACATGACTTTCTGATACAAACAGGAATATGCTTAATTATTGAATGAAAACTTCAATAACTAAGACTGTATTATGCAAACAGTTACATAAACTAAGATAATATGTCAGGAATCCCAGTTATTCTAATAATTTTTCTCAGATATTCTAAAAGCATTAACTGCTTTAAAAGAATAGCCCCAAAACAAGCCTTCAGAACTGATATAACTCACAGCATCTGACAACCTGTGAGATGGTTCCTAATATCATACTTTAAATATTTTATCATATGGTAGAATTCCTTCGTTTGGACATTCAGCATTTTGAAGAAACCATAGTAGCACAATATCTGTTTCCAATATCTGGTGAGAGTTTACACTTATTTGGGGATGTACAAAGCAATTCAGCCTCAGCAAGAAAGAAGGATTCTTGACCTTCTCTCTATAACTATATCCTGCCACTCCATAGCACTATTATAAATCCCCTTGTCCAAGGAACACAGTGCTAGGTACTGTGGGAATACAAAATGAGGAGCACCTAGATAATTCATCTCTACTCATGTCAGCTCTAAAGAGGCTTATAACCCAGTAGAATTTAAATGAGGACTATCAGATAATTTTTCACGTTGACTTTTAATTTGCTGAAATGCTTAAGTATTCATATACTAAGTATACAGACAACAATAATTAGGTGCTATATGCCAGGCTATTCCAAACTGGACTATTTGTGATGGAAATTTAAATAGGAAAAGCAGTCAAAATATTTCAGTATATATGTTGCATCTAAAGAATTCACCTCACAAATAGCTGAACTAGAACTTAAACCAGACTGTGGGACAGTAGAGAGCAACCTCTCAACCCCTACCCAGTTTGAAAAGAAAAGAAAAAGAAAAAAATTCACCTCTCACAAGATTTTTAAAAAATGATTATAATTTTGTATCTCTAATAAAATGATGTTTTAGTCACTTATCTATTTTTTTTCGATGTCAACCTAAGTGGCCATTGATAGACAAATAGATTAAAAAGTTTACACCTCAGCCATAAGCTAGAATGAAATCTTGCCATTTGCATCAACACAAATGGACCTAGAGAATATTATGCTAAGTGAAATAAGCCAGACAGAGAAAGACAAATGCCATATGATTTCACTTATATATGGACTCTAAAAAAATAATCAAAACAGAAACAAAGTAATAGATATAAAGATCATTTTTATGTTTGCCAGATAGGAGGAGGGTTGGAGGGATGGGTGGAAGGGGGAAAGGCTTAGGAAGTACAAATTGATTGTTACAGAATAGTCATGGGGATGTAAAGAACAGTATAGGAAATATAGCCAATAATATTGCAATAACTGTGTATGGTATCAGCTGGGTACTAGACTATAAATGTCTCATCATTATTTTATACACCTGAAACTAATATACTATTGTATGTCAACTGTAATTGAAAAATAAAAAAATTATTATAAAAATAAACAAATAAAAATTGTGTATATTTTAGGTATACAACATAATTTTTATAAATTAATTTGAGAGAGAGAGAGAGAGAGAGACAGACAGACAGACAGACAGACAGACATTGATTGGCTGCCTCTTGTATGCTCCTTGACCAGGGATGAAACCTGCAACCTGGGTATGTACCCTGACTAAAAATCTAACCCCCCAGCTTTTGGTGTATGAGACGATGCTCCAACCAACTGACCCACACCATACGATGATTTGATATACATTAGATTAAGTGATTTTTTTTTTTTACTAAAATTACCCATGCAAAGTCATTTATCAAAAATTTAAGAAAAATAAAATAAATGCTATACTTTTACTCCTGTGCACAAACTCCAACAATATTTTCAAAAGTTATTAAGAATGTATTATATGCCTCCCCTCTTTAGTACTTACTATAATCCTGCAGGTGCTAGGAAGACAGAATGGTGGTGTTAAATTGTGCCTAGCAGATGGCAAGATACATAGTGGGTGTTCAAGAAGTTTGAGAGTGAATAGATGAATGCATCATCTATTCTTCGTATCCTTGAACACAATTCAGTAAAGTGCCTATCATTCATCCCACAGAAGAAATAGCTGGCCTGGGAAGACTTATACCTAATCAATGATGCAGATTAATAAAAGCAAATATTCAAAATGGCTGGAATAGTTGCCTGGAAATACAATCCATGAATATTTAACCTTCATTTTAAGATTTGGAGACCTCTACTATCTTTTTTTAAAAAGAAAATATGTTTTTATTGATTTCAGAGAGAGGAAAGAAAAGAGAGAGAGGGATAGAAACATAAATGATGAAAGAGAAACACTGATCTGCTGCCTCCTGCCCGTCCAGTACTGGGGATCCAGCCTACAACTTGGGCATGTGCCCTGATCAGGAATTGAACCATGACCCCCTGGTTCATGGGTTGATTCAACCACTGCTCAATACCAACTAGGCGATCTCCAGTATCTTCTAGTTGATTTTCAAAAATTCAAAATATTACTGAACCATAAAAAAATCAAAAGTTTAATTTACACATTTTACAAATCAACTGCAAATCTTATGTTCAAGAATGACTCAAAGTCATCTGCAGATTCAGGCTCTTCATTTGTGAAACCAAAACTGTTCTTACCCTTCACAAGTGGGTAATTGTTATGCACAATTGCTCCACAAATGTGCAGGCGGAACAACCCAATGCAACCATTTGCTTTTACATTTGGCAGAAGAGTGTTGTGTTAGCAGGAGGCCTTTGTGTTGTGTTTAGTGCTCTAGTGAGGGCTTTCCCCTCCTCCAGCGCCCTTTTAATGTTACACCATAAATATCTACAAGTGAGGATTTATAATATACAGGTGGCTTTCCTATCAATGCCTCTAAGTTGCTTCAGAATGTATCCCACTATTATATTTTGCTAAGGTGAAGTTTAAGGTGGCTTGAAAAATGGAGATAATAATAGCACCTATTCCAGGTGTTAATCAAGGATCCAATGAGACAGTATATTTAAAGTGCTTAGCAAAGTTCCTGTATTGAAGTACTCAACAATGTTTGCTATTAATAAAAATAAAAATAATATTAATTTAATAATATTTTAAACATTATTTTCTGAGATTACATTTTTTTTCTGGGAAAAATATTCAGTGTTCTTAACCACATACAAAATTTCAGTTCATGTTTTACTAACATTAAGAAACACATAGAAGGGCACAGGTAGAGGCATGGATAAAGATTTCAATTAAAATGATAATGCTTTCACAACTAATTTTCAGGCTTTAATGGTCCAATGAAA